AAAGGGAGAGGACGAAATGGCTACACTGACTTAGAAATCTCTCCTGGACAGTCGTTCCTTCGATAGCTCAGTTGGTAGAGCGGAGGACTGTAGAAGATGCATTGACATCCATAGGTCGCTGGTTCGAATCAGGCTCGAAGAAAGTTTTTTGTTTCTTTGTTTTTGAACTTTCACTTTGCTTGAAAGGTATTTGGTTTTGCATTACTACGCCACACAATTTGTTTTGAGAAACTCGTACCACATTCATTCATTCAAGTCCTGGTTGTTAGAACGTTGGCCATGGATAACGTTATCCACCGGATAAATAGCTATCCAGTGGATAAATCTTAACCAAAAAAATCGTGCTATCCGCTGGATCGTGATTTATTTGGTGGATATCGTTATCTACCTTTCAAACAACCCGGGCCAGAAGTTAAACCGCGCCAACTGTGACTTATTCGTCTACATTTCCCTGCGCTTTGCGTCAGCTACGTGTATTTACTTCAAGTTTCCAATGGTTCTTTGCTATCGCCTCGTGGTTCAACAGCTATTTGACAATGTTATGACGATTCATGATCAATAACAGGACAGACGTATGAAAAACTGACATCAATTTGTTAACTTCCTGCGAAACCTTTCATAAGAAAATATTCTCTGCCTCTTGGTTCATTTTAATATGAAAGGTTTTGCAGGAAGACCTGTTTTGAAACAGAGGCAAAAGGTAACTCAGGAACTGCTCTGTCCTTACATAAGTTAATGTAGGTGAAAATATACTTGCTGGTAATATCACTTGACACAATTACTTCCCTACAACGTGTTCTTTTGATAGCTCAGTTGGTAAAGAGGAAGAGCGTGTAGAAGGTTAATTGATGACCTCAATTCGCTGATTTAAAAGAATCTTTTTTCTTTCTTAACGGAACCGACAGCTCGCATGTTACACTTTTAAAGCATTTGATTTTAGTATATCCATAACTAGCTTAATTTATTCTTTGATTAATCTTTCAAACCCATCTCCTTGTTACCTTTCGAATGGAAGATTATCATCGAATCTAATAAATTCCTCTTCAATTTTATCGGTGTGGCGTGAAATAATGTTTACCCCCGTGCATACGCGTTCCTTCGATAGCTCAGTTGGTAGAGCGAAGGACTGTAGAAGCGTAGTTGACATCCTAAGGTCGCTGGTTTGACTCCGGCTCGAAGGAGATTTTTTCAATTGCTTTTCAATTTCATTTACTCTATCTGCTGATTTCATTGTTTTACTTTTTTATACTAAGTAAAAATATTTCTAGTTAACTTGTGGCTGATGGTTTTAATACGACTGAAGAAGTTGTGAATTCAGGTCATTGGTTTTCGTAAAAGTTGTAAGAAATTTAAACATTTTACTTTATATTTTTCAACCCTAAATTACTTAAGAATAATTTGGAGGGACGGATAGGAGGTAATGACTACACTTTGAAATCTGTTTTACCCAGGCGTTCCTTTGAAAGCTCAGTTGGTAGAGTGGAGGACTGTAGAAGTTGAATTGATATTCTTAGGTCGCTGGTTCGAATCCAGCTCGAAGGAGATTATTTTTATTGTTTTGAATTTTAGTTACTCTATCTGCTGCTTTTATTGTCTTGCTCTCTATACTACGCAAAAAAATATTTTAGCTTAACTTGATGCAATCTGGCTGAAGAGTTTGTAAATTCAGGTTGTTGTTGTTGTTGTTGTTTTCAAATTGTACTTGCTTTTCAACCCCAAAATACTTAAAAACAATATGGAGAAAGGGAGACGACGAAATGTCTACACAGACTTATAAACCCTTCCTGGACAGCCGTTCCTATGATAGCTCAATTGGTAGAGCGGAGGACTGTAGAAGGTGAATTGATATCCTTAGGTCGCTGGTTCGAATCCGGCTCGAAGGAGATTATTTTTATTGTTTCGAATTTTATTTACTCTATCTGCTGTTTTTATTGTTTTATTTGCTTCTATACTATGGCATGAAAAAATTTTTCAGCCTAACTTGTGGCTCATGATGCAATCCGGCTGAAGAGGTTGTAAATTCAGTTGTTTTTGTTTTGTTTTTCAAATTGCACTTTTTTTTCAACCCCAAAATACTTAAAAATAATATGGAGAAAGAGAGACGACGAAATGTCTACACAGACTTAGAAATCTCTCCTAGACAGCCGTTCCTTCGATAGCTCAGTTGGTAGAGCGGAGGACTGTAGAAGGTGAATTGATATCCTTAGGTCGCTGGTTCGAATCCGGTTCGAAGCAGATTATTTTTATTGTTTTGAAGTTTATTTCCTCTATATACGGTTTTTATTGGTTGATTTTCATCTATACTATGCAAAAAATATTTCAGCTTAACTTGTGGCTGATGATGCAATCCGCCTGAAGAGGTTGTAAATTCAGGGTTTTTTTTTGTTTTGTTTTTCAAACTGTACTTTTTTTCAACCCCAAAATACTTTAAAATAATACGGAGAAAGGGAGACGACGAAATGTTTCAACTGACTTAGAAATCTCTCCTGGACAGTGGTTCCTTCGATAGCTCAGTTGGTAGAGCGGAGGACTGTAGAAGGTGAATCGATATCCTTAGGTCGCTGGTTCGAATCCGGCTCGAAGGAGATTATTTTTCTTCTTTTAAATTTTATTTACTGTATCTGCTGTTTTTACCGTTTTGTCTTCTTCTATACTATGTAAAAAATATTTCAGCTTAACTTGTGGCTGATGATGCAATCCGGCTG